CATGATTTAAAAAAAATAATAATATTTCTTTTTTTATTAACCCTGAATTCCCTGAATTATGTTCCCATTGAATTTGACTTAGTTAAAAAAAATTAAAAAAATTTGGCAAGTCAAATTAAGTAAATTCTAATTTGAGGTAATTATGTCTTGATTGGAATTTGTTTTAATTAAGGAAAAAAATTGAAATATGAAATGATGAAGAAAAGCCAAAAAAAATTGCCTTATTTTGCTTGAATCTGTCGTTAAGTAAGAAAACCTTAGTTAGTGCCTATATAAGAGATAGAAAAAGAAAGAAAGGGACACAAATTGAGGAGAAGAAATTGAGAGAGGAAGTCTGGGAGAAGATGGCAAAAAACATTGGCAAAGTATTGAAGGTGAGTATTTCTTTTTTGTTATTCCTTTAGCTTTGCGTGTTGAATGGGGAAAAAAATTAAACCTTCTTGAGTCAACATCTAAGCCCTATTGAAACCTTTCTAATGATTTGTGTATGTCTTATTCTCAATTTGCTTTTTACCAAGTATTAACATCTAGTATTGTGAAGCCTAAGTTCCCTATACACGTTCTTGGTTTTGTTTCAAAATGACTCTTCATTGTTTATTTATTTTTCTTTTCTTTTCTTTTATTTGTTTCTTAATTTAAATTACTGTGGATCTTTTGCTGTGAGTTTGTCCTAAAATGGCATGGCATCTAGACTCTTATAATCATCAATTTATATATGAGAAGATGTTGTAAACTTATTTGACATTGATTCTTCCTTTTTCTTTTTTCTTTTTTTACTTTTTTTTTGTTTGTTAAGAGTTGTGAGAATAATGTTATTACAATTTATTATATAGTCTTTTTGATAAAATATTCTTCTAATCTTCTTTTTTTCCTCCCTTAAAAAATGGGGTGACCACAAGTGATACTAAATCATTGTAGGTATTTGATACATTGATGAAATGAGTGATACTAAATCACTGCAAATATCAAGTGTCAAAAATTTTAAAAAATATTAAAATTTTATTGGCATGTTTTTTTAGGATCCACGAGTGATATTAAATCATCATGAATCAATAGAAATATCAAATAAGATATCGTGTGTGACACTAAATCATTGTAGGTTTTAATTTTTAGACTAAAAGTTCATAATTAAATTATTTTATAGAGAACTCAGTTTGAAAATTCCTTTAAAGTTTGCTATGAGTAATACTAAATCATTGTATACACTTAGAGTGTCAATTGGTGGACTGTGAGTGATATTAAATCACCATAGGTTCCAATACTAGTTAATTTTCCCTTCTCTTGTGCATTAATAAAAAAATAATAAAAATAATAAAGCTCTTAGTATGTTTTAGATTATGTCATGAGTGATATTAAATCACCTTCGATCGTTAAAAATATCAAAAGAAGATATTGTGAATGATACTAAATCATCGCAAGTATCAAATTTTGTTCTAAAATTTAATAATTAAACTATTTCATAGAAATTTTACTTAGAAATTTCCTAAGGGTTTGCCATGCATAAGTGATACTAAATCACCATGTGTATTTAAAGTATCAACCAACGGACTATGAGTGATATTAAATCATTGTAGGTTTTAATACTAGTTATTTTCCTTTAACACAAAGATATTCCTTATGACACTTTTTTATTTAAAAATAAATATAATTATATAACACAAAATAACATTTTCTTCATAAAATAAATTAATGAAAAATTAAAAGAAAACCTAAATAATAATTTTTTGAACTATGTGAACTTTGATCCCCGTCAGGGTACTTTTGATCCTAGATCAAGTCCTCTTATGTAAATAAATAATTTATTTTTTTTCTATATTTTTCATGAGGAATAAAGGATAATTAGAATATTATTAAAAAGCTAATATTGATTTTACACAATTAACTTAATGTAACTGTTCTTATGAATAGGTGTCGTAGGGTGACTAATACCTTCCTCATGCACTGACTCTTGAGTCTTATTTTGATTATTGTAGACTATTTTATTTTTTTAAAAAGGTTTTTAAAATTATCCTTTCAAATTTTCGTGGCGATTCTCATTTTTCTTACTTTTATTGACCTTCCTTCTTTGGGAAAGACATGATCTGGGTGCGACAATTATGGTTAACCAATTTTTTTAAATTATGTGATATAACTTTTTTTTCTGTTATATATAAAAACGGAGGGAGTAGAGGATTAATGGTACTATTTTACAAGAGGTTTATTGAGTTGGGAGCTCTTTTATTTTGTTTTGTTTTTTTCAAAATACATGCAATCTAATTTAAATTTGGATGCTCACCGTACATGTTATAAATTTTTACACACATATGGAGAATTATATATAGATCTTAGATTAAAAAAATTAATTACTTACAAGTCTTGTATATTTGCAAGTACTAAAATTTCACTAGAAGTTTGACTTATAAATTGACTGAAAAAATAATTAATTTTATTATTTGGTAATTTATTGTAATTCTCTTTTATATATATATAAGTAATATTATTACTTATGTATTATGATAATGATACTTTTGCATGCTTGCTAAATATCGTTTGCCCATTGCATGGAGATATAATGCTAATAGCCAGTCGAAGTCAGATCGTTGGCGGGCGAGCTCGCAGGGGCTGGCGCTGATAACAGTGCAAACACACTACCCACACCATACCTGAAGCCACCACCGCGCGTCACGTTGGATCGCCGACTCAGTGCCACACTCTCACTGGCAGGGACGAATGCAAAAATTCTTGTATGGGGCCATAACTGAAATTTTATTTAAAAGTGGGCCGTTAAAAGTGATTTTAGCCTTTGTCATCACAACTATCGCTGCTATTGAGATCATACACGTAAATTTATTCCAGCTTTTTTTTATGGGCTTTGCTGTCATTTCTTACCATTGCTCACAAATTTTAATTCCTAGCCAGTCTATCCACCTCTAGCTAGCTAGTACATTCAAATGATCTAATCGTGATGTTACCAATGAAGTTAGAATTATCAGTTAACATCAATCCGATTTTAAAAAGTTAATCCTTAAAGGATCAGGATTTAAACAGGTTGGTTTTAATAAGTTTGATTATATTTTAAAATTTTTTTTTACAAGGTCAAGTTTTAGCCCTCAGGGTTGAAGGACCAACCCTCAAGACCTTGGCCCTTTTTTATTTTTTACTTTTTTCAATTTAAAATTTTAAAAAATATATTTAAAATCAAAAAAAATTATTATACATAAAATTAAGTTTAAAAAAATAAATTTAAATTAATTTATACCATAATAAATAAAAAAATTAAACATTGAGGTCTAATATCAAATAACAATATCAAAATTAATACCAATAAAAATTAAACTTAACTAACATTATTAACTAAATCTTAATGAATGAATGAAGGAGGGATGAATGAGTCTAATATGTTCATTTTTTTAGTTATATATTTAATCTTCTATTTTTTTATATTATAATTTTTTAAAAAACTAAAAAGTTTAAAAGGATCAGCCCTTTTCATTTTTTCTTTTAAAGTAGAGGCCTAATCTTAATTATTTTTAAATTTAAAAGGACTGGTTTGATAGAATCGACCTTAATTAATAGTTTTAAATGAAGCGTGATATGTGCATGCAATTTCCAGGTCTTTGTTGCCGCATTTCGGAACATAAATCTTCAACTTCCTGAAGACCCTGCAGAACTCTACGAGCTCGCACGTGACTAGGAAGCTGCCTCAGAAACAGAATTTTTACCTCACGGATATTTCACGGAAATCTCGAGTAAATCACATCTGCATGTACATACGACAAGAAGTCCGTGGGAGTCTGAGGCAATTAAGAGTTAAGACAATTGCCTGAGGTCTTGAAAAAAATCATTAATATATATTCCTAATATGAACGGAAATGTATTTGTATAATTTTATAATAAATGTTAAATAAAAAAATAAAGCCCAGTTCTTCTCCCCATTGAAGAATGAAAACATTTCTACATTCTCAAAATAATATTTAATTATTAGGTTAGTCTTAATTTAGTCATTAATCATTATTTATTCTCTTTTTATAGATTACAATTCTCTATATTTTGTAAGATTCTTCAGTTCATAGACATGCATATAGATGTTGCTATAAATTATTTGAAAGGCTTTATTACTTATTTAAAGAATAATACAGAAAATGGTTTTGCATCTACTTTGAAATTTACAAAAAAAGATATAGCTACTGGAATGAACATGAATCATAATTATTGTGAAAAATGTAAAATCATAGGAAAAAAACATTTTAATAAAAATATTAGTGATGAGATCACACATTCAGCTAAAGATTCTTTTCATATTGAATATTTTTTATACATGTTAGATCAATCAGTTTCTTCTATTCAATTTGAATAATTTTTAGAATATGAAATCACTTTTGGTTTTTTATTGGAATCCAAAAAATATTTAAAACTTTGGATGATGATGAATTGAAAAAATTTTGTATTGATATTGTTCTTAAGTTTTAATGACAATTATTATATTGATGGTTTTGATTTATTTTCATAATGAAAATTTTTGAGAGAAATATTAACTGAAGAAATTAACACACCAGTTGAAATATTAAACTATGTCAAAAGATTAAATACTTCTTTAAATGTATGTATTGCTTATAGAATATTATTAATAATACATGTAACAGTTATTACTATCTAAAGAAGTTTTTTAAAATTAAAGTTGCTCAAATCTTATTTAAAATCAAATATGTTACAAGATTAATTGAAGTGGACCAGCCTTATTATATATTAAGAGTAAAATGTTAGAATTACTTGATTATAAAACTTTATTATATGATTTTGCAACTCAAAAAACTAAAAAAAATAATATAAGGATCAATAATTTATTATATGCCAGGCCTCTATTTATTTTGCTTTAGGTCTTAAAATCCCTTGACTCGGCCTTGGACAACAACATGACCCTTATTTCGTCTACGCAATCTGACATTTATGCTGGTTAAATCTTTAACTTTATAGCTACCTAGCAAGAATTGGTTCGAATATGAAGTTTCTGTTTTCATCAGGTTCCTTGACAAAGCTGATATCAAAACCAGACCCACAACAGAAGTTGACAATTCTGCTCCAAACCCATGGAAACTTTGCAGGGTCACCCAGGCAAAGAATGCCAAGGTCATCTTAGGAATAATGGTCCCAATATTTGCCGCACAATTATTATGACTCTCTGCTTAGCTCAGCTCCAAACCTTCTGCATACAACACAATAGACAGTCAAATCTCAAGATCTTTCAAAATCCCTCAAGCATCTCTCCCAATCATCCCAGTCGCGTTCTTGATCATCGTCGTCCCCGTCTATGGCCACATCATTGTGCCTGTTCTTCACAAAATCACCGGCAACCCTACCGGAATCACCCACTTGCAGCGTATAAGAGTCGGCCTCATTCTCTCATGCATCTTCATGGCCATCTCTGCTGTAATTGAAGTGAAAAGAAAGCAAATCGCTAGAGATCACAGCATGCTCGATGCTGAACCGACACGAAACCCATTGCCCATGACCATATTCTTACTTTTCTTTCAGTACTTTGTGTTTGGCATTGCTGACCTGTTTACCTATGCGGGGCTGCTTGAAATCTTCTACTCAGAGGTACCCAAATCGCTTAAATCTACATCAACATGTTTCCTCCGGACCTCAATGGTTCTTGGATATTTTCTAAGTACGATAGTGGGAGATCAAATTATACCTCAAGTGGAAAAATTTAAATATTTGAGAGCCATTATTCAAAATGATGGCGAAATCAGTAAAGATATTTCACATAGAATTCAAGCTGGATGATTTAATTGGAGAAAAATTAAAGGAGTTGTTTGCGACCGTAAGGTGCCTAATAAACTTAAAGGAAAGTTTTATCGCACTGCTATCAGACCGACAATGTTATATAGTAGTGAATGCTAGGCTCTAACGGGACAGCAAGAGCATAAATTTGAAGTAGCAGAGATGAGAATGTTATGATGGATGTGCGGACATACACGTAAAGATAAAATTCGAAATGAGCACGTACGCGAAAAAGTGAGGGTGGCACCTATTGAGAAAAAAATGGTAGAAAATCGGTTGAGATGGTTTGGGCATGTACAAAGAAGACCAAGGGAGGCACCAGTAAGAAGAGTGGAACATACAACTTTGAGTCCGATTAAGAGAGGTAGAGGAAGGCTTAAGAGAACACTCTTGGAAGTTATTGAACGCGATCTCTTAATTAATAATATTCCTAAAAGCTTGATAAATGATAGAGCACAATGACGTCTTGCAATCCATGTAGCCAACCTCACCTAGTGGGATAAAGGCTTGTTGTTGTTGTTGTTGATAGTGGTGCAGAGTGTGAATAGTGCCACCAAGAATATCAAGAACAGCGGACGATGGTTGGCTGGGAACAATATCAACAGGAACCATCTGAATCTCTTTTACTTGTTCCTTGCTGTGATGAGCTTGATCAACTTCTATATCTATCAGATCACTTCAAGCAGGTACAAGAATAGGCCTCAAGTTTCGGAAGTAGAGCAAGGGGATTCCAAGTATTGAATGCAGAGAAGAGGTCATAAGTCGAACGATAAATGAAAGTTGAAGTTTAATTTGTTCCTCATTGTATTGCTTTTTTTTTGTTATTTGAAAAAAATGATTGTGATGGGATTGAATTGAGGCTTGGACATTTGATTTCTTCACAATTTGGAAGGGGGGAATCACGTTTAGGTTCCAAAATACTAAATTAATATTAATTAAGTTTGTGACAATGTTTTTTTTAAAATAACACTACAAAAAAAACAGCGGATTAGTGACGGAATAAATTTCCATCACTAATTAAGTTGCTAAATTAGCGATAGAATTTGTCGATGGAATGTTTTGTCACTGAAATTTTATCATTATTTTGTCACCAATCTGTTAAAAATAATTTATTGATAAAAAATTTTGTTACTAATGATTAGGATATCTTATTTGAATTTAATAACAGAATTTGTGAAGGAAAATTCTATCACAAAGATTTTTGTCATAACTCCATCACTAATTCCATCATAAATTATTTTTAATTTAATTTAATTATTTAAAATATACATTTATAAATAATTTATTATTATGATATAAATAAATAATTTAAAAATCATAATTTAAAATAATTTAATATTTTAAATTATTTGTATATTAATAATAATAATTTAAATTGTATACTTAATTACTCTTATTTAATAATAAAATAAAATAATTGTAAAATAAAAATTTTAAATATTATATATTATATAGATGCAAATTATAATATAATATATAATAATTATAAAATATTTTTCAATTTAATATTAAATTTATTAACAAAAATAATTTTTTAAATAAAATATAATAGGAATAATTATTATATATAAATTAATTTTTTTACATTAATAAATAAATATAATGTTAAAAAAAGTAAATTTAAATACTATATTTAATAATAATTTGAATAATATATTTATTAATATATGTATGTGTGGTTAAGTATTATATATTTAATTTAACAATTAAAACTGAAAATTCCCTTCAATTCAACTAGCAACAAAATGGACATAAAGGCACATAGAAATATGAGGTTACAAGTTCGAACCTAGTCAAGGCACAATTAAAGGTAATAATATTTAATATGGCAATGACAAATAACATGACAGTGATGTAGCAGTGAAGTAGCACTAGTCCACTGGGTGACTAGGACGTAACGATGATATGGCAGTGAGGTGGCACTAATCTACTATGTGACTAGGTGGTGGCCGATGAGGTGGCAGTGGTCCATTAGGTGACGTGTCGCTATTCTGTTGAAAATTAACGACGGAATTATATTTCATCGCTAATGAATAAGTGACAGTGTGTTTGTTTACCGACGAAAATATTCCATCACTACTCCATTTAGCGATGGAATTTTCACTAATTAGCGACGAAATTTTTCGTCGCTAATTAGCTTTTTTTTGTAGTGTAAGTTAAAAATATTAATCAAGATTATTATAATTCCATGAGTTTTAGTTATTACTAACCATTTAAATATTAAATATAATTTTTGGATTATAATAAAAAATTTTATTTGTAACTATTTGAATTCATATTTATAATTCATTTTATAAAAATTTTTGTCGAGAACCTAACTATCGTTAGAATCTATTTGATTTTGTTACTTTTAATATTTAGAAAGTACTTTTCTACTTTTCAAAAGTTAAATGTTGTTTGATTTTCAGTATTTTTAAAAAAATTCATTTAAAAAGTTCTTTTTGGATATTGTTGAATGTGTTTTTAACCTACTTAAAATATCGAAATTTTTAAAAAGTGAATTTGAGAAGTAAGATGTTATATAACCATATTATTCTAAATTTAATCTCTTATTCTTTTATTTAAAAAATAATTAATTCATTAAAAATAAAATAATCATTTCAATAATAATAACAATTAGGTATCAAGTTTTTAGTATTATAAATTGAATAATTAATCATGTTAATTTTTTAACATTAATGTATAATACAAATTACAAATCTTTATCTCATTTTTAAAAATTACAAATTAAAAAAGTATAAATGACTAGAGATTAAATTTTTAGCATTATAGATTAAATATTATGTTATTTAAAATCTTTATCACAATTTTTAAATATTATAAATATATTACATTTATATAATAAAAATTACAAACTATTATAAATTAATATCTTTTTTAATACTTGTACATTCAAAAGTATATTTTACTATCATAATCCAAACAACTTTTAGTATATAAAACTAAATTTTAAAAAATATATCCGAATATAAATTTTACAATAACAACTGATTTTTATTAAATGAATTTTTATTAAATAAATTTTTAATAAATTAAAAATCAACTACACGTTCATTCCTCTAAAACCAAACTGTCATTCTTCCATTTGGAAATTGTCAAGTTCATCATTGGCCGAAGTTTTTAACTTTGTTTGGCCTTGGAAAAAAAGAAAAAACCCCATGATTTATTTTTAATTTTATTTTCAGCCGTCCAATAATGAAGTGGGCATGACTGGGCGTGAGATATTTTAATGTCAACCATATTGCTTCATTAATTCCGACCCAAATAGAAATACAGAATATTCCAGCATCTATAGCAATTGAGGATAAGTTTTAAGGAACTAGTGGTGTTTTGCTTGGATGGTTCTCCGTCGCTTTTTTTTTTTTTTCCGGCCTGAATTCTCCTTCTTTTGAATGAAGTTAAGTAGTATATATATATTATTTATAAATCACCTTTAATATGAAAATAAAACGTTAAACTTTTATTAATTTTATTTTAAAATTTAATAAGTTTTTACTTTTATTTTTAATAAATATTATTAAATTTTATTACTGATATTTTTATTTAAAACATTTAATAAAAAATATTAAAAAGTGACAAGTACTAAAGGATTAATTTTTTTTCTATAGTTCCAGAGAAAGATTACTCTATTTGATTAATGTCACTCCTTTTTCATTACAAAATCAAGAATGAGAATGTTGCTTATTAAAAAAGAAATAAAAAAAGAAGTAAAGAATCACAGAGAGAGAGAGAGAGAGAGAGAGAGATTAAGAAAACGAGAGCGCCGAAGCTTCCTTTGCGGCTCTGCCCTCAAAATATCTGGCTCAGTCAATATAATATCCCGTGTTTGCTTGGGGTACAATCCGAATTGTCGTATGATATCTATATCTGATATTTTAAATGATTATTTTAAAGTCAAAATATCCTCTCAGATAATTCTATTCTCAAAAGTATATTTAAACTATTCTATTTTAAATTTATTTTTGTCATATTTAATAAGTAATTGGATTTTTCAAGAAGTTGAATTATCTTTATCCCCCTCCTATTTGACGATTTCGTTTCTGAATTATCCTCTTCTTTTTTCCTTGCCTAGATTAGATCTCTTCTGTATGATAAATAAACACGGAACATGTAAATTGGAAGATCATATGTAAATTGAATGAAAAATATATAAGTAAATGCCCCCACATGGTTACACTCCACATATTTATTTATGTAAAAAATCGATACAGTTAATGGTATATACTTAAGTTAAATTGATCAATAACAAATTTTTATTGTTAATATTATTAATATATTAGAATTTTTGTTGATTTAATTAAATAAAATTATATTACGTCCTGCTTTTTATTTATTTAATTTTTTTGGTTTTCCTCACAAATTTATTTTTGAATTTAACAGGTACGTTTGTTAATGAAAAGTTAAAAGTAAAAATAGAGAAATTCAACTCAACAGTTTTTTTTTTGGTCATTACTTTCATTCTATTTATTTTAGAACGTGTACAATATTATTTATAATAATAAGTTAATAACACGAGTCAGTACTAGAAATGATTAGGTTCTTTTTATTGATAAGTATCTTTAGAATTCATTGATTATTAAAAAAATAAAGCAAAAATCGAGAAATGAAATCAACTCTGTCTAGGTATTTATCCATCTTTTTTTCTTTTTTTGTGCCTTCACTGCACAGTCTTTTTATTGATGAGCCTAAATTTTTAGGTCTCATTTAATTATTATAAAAAATAAAATAGAATGAATTAAAAAATTAAAATAAAAATAAATTAAATCATCATTTTTTTATAATAAGTATGACAAAATTTATTAATATATATTATGAATATGAGAATCATTACATCTTTTAAAAATATTATGAATTATGATTTCTAATTTTATGAACTAAATTACTTCTTTCTTTATAAATGTGTTTATATATCTTTTTTATCATCTTATTTTCACTTTTTTTTTTCAATTCATTTTATTCTAGTAGACAAACATAATTAAAAAAATAAGAGATAATAACATAGAGGTTCCAAAAATATCACTTAATTTAAGTTAGATTTCAAAAAGTTGCAATTCAATCTCTCAATTTTATAATTTTGTTGTGATGAATTTGTAACTTGTATTTTAAATTTTAACGGAAAAAATAATTTTTTTATTCTTTGATCATGTTAAAATTTTAAAAATAAGTTGTAAATTTATCACAATGCAATTGTAAAATTAGGAGATTGAATTATAAATTTTTGAAGTTTGATACTTGAGACCTAACTTAAGTTAATTAATTCTTTTAAGACTTTTTTATTATTTAAAAAAAATAAAAAAGAAAGCAAAGATCAAGAAATGAAATCAACTCTATCTAGGTATTTATCCATCCATCCATCTATTTATTCATTTATTTACTCTTTTTATTTTTTGTGCCTTTGCCCAATTTTGATCAGAGACGAGGAATACGAGACGACATATCCAAAATCCCGTTTCCCCCTTATTGCACGAAAATGATCGACAGGTACCAGCTCCGACAAGTACAAGAGGTACGAGTATATAGGAATTCTACAATGTTATCTTTATTCAGCATTTATGACCGTCCATCTATGCTAATCGACAAAACCAACGGTTTATATCATCCTAAGCCTCCGTAACTTACAGCTTTCTTCAATTACTATAAAGTATACGCATTTTTCGCCGTATTTACAACGGTGTAACGTAGTCAACTATTCAAACTAATCAACTCTATCCTCCCGTGCGTCTCAGTCATTTTGCGCTGGC